GGGGGTCTTCAAGAGGAGGTTAGATAAGCATCTAGCTGGGGTCATCTGAACCCAGCCCTCTTTCCTGCCTATGCAGAGGGTCGGACTCGATGATCTATTGAGGTCCCTTCTGACCCTAACATCTATGAATCTACAATGGCTTCCAGCTGTTTTTCCTCCTATAGCTCTAGGTTACCTATTCTTCCAAGAATTAGAGAGTATATCTGTCGTAATTTATAATAATAAATCATTATTTTACTGTCCTTAATATTTAACCTCTAATATCCATTTATTTCTCTCTCTCTGGTTTTCAGGCAAAGAAAATATTTGCTAGGTTTCTGCATTTGCATGTCTCTGTCTCTTAATTCACTATTTACCTTATTAGGTCATTTCACAAGACAGCAATTTTTCTTGCCATTTTGATGAGGGAAGTTTTTAACAATAACTTACAAACAAATGGAAATACTTGCACAAGTTACCATTCATACAGTGTATGCTACTGTGTGTTTGTGATGGGCTATTTGCTATGGAGTTTGATCAAAAGGTTGGTTAAAGAAAGCAAGCAGGACTAGCAAACCAATAACCAGGTGAATGTCCCTGAGGAAATAAAAGCTATTATTGAAGAATATGCACTGCTTAACTGTTCATACTAAGAACAATTTACTAATGCACCTTGCTTCATATCTGAAGTACTGTTTGCTTTAAATGTTTCCTGGCTCTCTCTGCTCTAGTGCAATGGTGGTGGCAGCCTTTTTGTGGGACATGCTACAAGTCAGCTCCACACTCTTCCTCAGTGCTGCTCCCAATCCCTTTCCCTTACTTGACCCACTTCTCTGTTTTTTGCTTCCTGCCCTGTCTGGCACTGTGCTGCCTATCCCCTACCCAGGCTGTGCACAACATACAGAAGCTACCTGTGCCACTTAAGGTACCTGTCCCTCAAATTGGCCACCCTTGCTCTTATAGATCAGAGCTGCCTCAGAGCCTACTTTCCTTACCCAGTTCTGACTATGCACTTCAGAAATGTGGTCTAGGTACAGAATTCTAAGGTCTGGGTTCTGTTTAATACTCTTTCC